TTGGGGGACTCTGCTCCTCCATATTCTACAGCTGCATGCTGGGCCAAGGAGTTGAAACTGGACAGAACATCCACTGAAGATGAACATCGCGAAGGACGCCCATCCACGTCCCTCACTGAAGACAATGTGAAAAAAGTCGAAGATGTTGTGTTGGCAGATCGAAGAGTGACCATCAGGCATGTAGCTGAGGTCACAGGGATCTCATATGGCAGCGTTCAAAGAATCCTTGCGAACGAGTTGCATATGAAAAAGGTCTCTGCGCGTTGGGTACCCAGAATGTTAACCGACGAGCAAAAGAAAAATCGAGTTGACATTTCGAGGGTCAATCTCGAAAAGTTCCAAGCAGAACAAGAAAATTTTTTGTTTCTTTTTGTGACTATGGACGAGATCTGGATCCACCATTTTGATCCTGAAACGAAACAACAATATATGACTTGGAAGCGAACCTCCTCACCGACGCCATTCAAAGAAATTCAAAGTTTCAAGTTCGTCGGGAAAGGTTATGGCATCTGTTTTTTGGGACGTCGCTGTTTGGAGCCACTTCCAAGACGCCGAGCTTCAGCACGTCAAGCAAGTATTGCAAGACAACAAGCTTTGGGTCCCACGCCTATGTGTACAGCGTACAGCGACCGAGTGAAGCCGGCCACGGTCGATGAATGTGTGCTACCACCTGCCATCCGCAAAATTTACTCAAACCCAAGCATACCACTGCAGGAATTCAAGATACTGTAAGCTCGTTCTATGTAGATCGGACCAAAAATCAATATTCAAAAACTGAAGGTAGCCGGGCTAACTATGACATTGAGACGTCAAACATCTCACTACCCCCCCCCCCTCTGTGATCATAAGGTAATTAAACGCGATAAAATCCGTATATGTAGTTTTATTCAATGTGTAGTGTTCGCGTAAATTTAAGAAATCATTAGATTACATGTACAAGTGATATACAGGGAAGTTTATAAACACTGTTATCCTTGAAACCAGTGGTTTGGTTTCACTTATGGAACGTAAATTCAATGAAAAATAACAACATTTTTTTTTAGTCAAATCTCAATTTTTACTTACAATTATTTCACTCTAAGCAAATAGACACATACAAAATTCCAGTAATCATATCGTAGCGGCAGCGATCCGTGCGAGATCTCGCGCGCAGCTCAGCGGTCAAGGGCATTAGCCATCAGTCCATAGTGTCACTGTTTCTGTGTGGCAGTCTGTCGCTGTGTCGGTAGCGAATGCACGTGTAAATTTGATTAGCAACCGCGCCGCGCGCCGTGCCGACATTCTACGCCGCTTATTTGTGTTTTAGGTACCTAGTTGTAGTTTTAGTGCGAGTGTGTTTTAGTTTGTAATTATGTCCTACACAAACGTGCAGTGGACCGAAATGGTCCGGCTTTATGCCGTAGCTGGTGACAACGTGAACGAGGCTCGACGAATGTACGCAGAATTATTCCCTGGACAACCTGTGCCAAATCGTGAAACTTTGTTGGCGGCCACGCAAAGGTTACGTAGCTACGGACAGTTTACCGTGCCGGATCATGCTTAGGGGCGTGGCAACCAGCAGCTGCCAGTTACTCTTCAAGAACGTATCTTGGATTTCTTCGCGGAGAAACCAGAGGGGAGTACCAGGCGGGCGCCCTGTATTTTCGGTGTTTCTCATTGGACAATTTGGAAAATTCTACACATTGATCGTCAACATCCGTATCATTTTCAGCCGGTTCAAGAGTTAAATGAAAACGACCACAAACCGCGGGTGGTATTTTCGCAATGGCTAATTCAAAACTTTGATAACGTTTGCAATTTATTTACGGACGAAGCAGTGTTTACAAGGTCGGGTATTTATAATGTTCGTAATGAACATTACTGGAGTCGGGTAAACGAACACCGAATACGGCAAAACAGTTATCAGCACCATTTTTCCGTAAACGTGTGGGCGGGAATTCTAGATGGCAAACTTCTTGGACCTATTTTATTGACGGCCATTTGAATGCACAGTCGTACATGGCTATTTTACGACATGTATTCGACAGGATGTTGGAAAATGTGCCTCTTCGTTCACTGAGAAACCTCTACTACCAACATGACGGTGCCCCTGCACATTTTCAGTTGTAAATCAGGGCTATGCTGGATAAGGAGTTTCCTGGGCGATGGATAGTGGAGGGCCAGTGGCGTGACCAGCGCGTTTGCCCGACCTTGCCCCGCTGGACTTTTATCTTTGGGGAGAAGTGAAGCGCCGAGTGTATGCAATAAAGTTCTGTAATACGTCGGAACTAAAAAGGCAAATTCTTAGTGTTTTTAGAGACTTAAGAAATGACACTGTTGTGCTTCCTAGAGTGCGAAACAATCTACGGAAACGTGCGGAGGCATACGTGGCTGTAAATGGATCCCATTTAGAACAGCTTTTACGATTAATGTAAAAGCTGATCAAAATGGGATTCATTTACGAGGATTTTATTAAATAGGTAAGTGTAAATAATCAATCAATCAGGCTACACATCAAGCTATACAAAACCAGTTTTTTTTTCTTTCCGTACAATGAACGGTCAGCTTATGCTTCAAATGCCCTTTGCGATCCAGGGCCGCGGTATCCTGCAAGACAGTCCCGGGACCCCGGGTCCTTGATTGGACGGCGAGCTACCCATTGGTTTTACATAGCTTAATGTGTAGCCGTGTGTGCATAACATTATGATTAACCTTTTCATCGTCACGCAACACAAAGGTTAGGAATTTTTGTCTGTCCTAAGCCAGTATGAAGGTATGAAGGAAAAGTTACATCATAGGTTATGAGTACCATTGTGTTTTTATTGAAATGTTGTGTAGGTAGCAAGGGCGGGCGGTGATCTTTGCAGTGATTACGTCACTCGGGCGCATAGGGTATCCATGAATTTATGGACGGTGTCGGACAGAAACTTTTTTAATTTTATGAAAGAATATAGCGTTTTTTTTAAAATCGGATAAATATTTTTATATCAAAGCCAACTACCTATGGTTTCATTGACAACGATGTTTACACTTACACACTGTATATATATATATATATATATATATATATATATATATATATATATAAAAATTTAAAATAACAATTGATCAATTTATTTATTTATCAATAATCAATAAATCCCAAATTTATCGATCAACGTCCCAACCCTGTCCCATCACTATGGTTCGGAGCATTCTAAGTTCAACCTTGAATTATCCAATCACAGCGCATTTAACACGTCCCCAGCAACTCATGCATGCTGCGAAATTCGCTGAAATTCGCCGAAATAGAACAAATATTCCATGATGCGGTATTTATTAAGGGGTAATCTATGATTTAAAACAAAATGTATAGACTTACTGTTACCTGCCTTGCCAGATTAATGATTCAAAATTAATATTTATTGTAATTATTACTGGATGTGATGCTTTTACTTTGATTGGTGTTAGTTAATGGAGTTTAATTTCTTTTCGTTTTAGAATTTATATGTTGTTTAGGTTTTTTTCTCTTATAATGATGTATACACCTGTAAAGACATATCCTACATCTAAAATGTAATATTTTGATTGTAGCAATGTTTATTGATATTGTCGATGGTGTATCTATTTAAATAAATAAATAAATAAGTTACGCCTTCTGACACTCGGCTCATATTTGAGGTCATTGTCCGTGTTTCTCAATCGATTTGACACATACTATATGACATTATTTGCTGCCTCTTTACTTGCACTACTCTGTACATTATTTTTCGACTCGGTCGTGATATTTACATTTTTAGAGTTTCTCACATCACTCAGAAACGTATAAACAATCAGTTTTGCTAATGTAAATTAGTAAAAATCCATCCTGTAAGGCAGTCTCCAACAAAAAAGTACCATACAAAAAAAATATAACCTCAAAGTGGAACATAACACATTCGAGAAGCGTTCTTGCGATAAACTCTGTTTTACCACTTAAGTAATATTTATTTCTTTTCCCACGCTTATTCACATTTATAGTCACTTAAACGTGTGTAAACCCTAAATAAACGATTTTCAATACAGACATAACTGACTATTGTCACCTTCCGCCACACATCGAAGCGCCAGATAATTTCTGACGGCAAACTTTTATCTGGCAATATACAATATTATTACTAGGCGTTTGTAATTAAAACGAATTATGTTAATAAAAAAAAATTGTATCGCAAAAGGTCGAAAATAAAGAAGACATGCATCTTCGGAATCACAATACAAATACTTTTACTACAAAATAATTTTTCCTAAACTTATATTCACAGAGTTTTGGAAGAAAAATAATTTTGAGATATAATTTCTTAATACATTTTTCAAAATTGGTATATTGACTTATTTTAAAATTTTAAAAGGCAGACACCTTGTGAACGAACCGAACAAACCTACAAAGTATGTTTTAACGCTTAGAATTACTTCAGGTCAAAGTTCTAATGAACAGAAATACATACAGTTTCGCCACTTCTCTTCGTATTCGGCCTTAAGTAGAAAATCTCGTTTGATCGGCAATTAATAAGTAAAGTAGCAAGTTAACAATGAAGTTGAACGGGATAGCCGGCCGGTCTATTTTTCGGCGAAATAATTTCGAAGTGTTGCCTTCCCGCGCGTCTCCCGCTACCCGTAACTGAACTCGCCGCTTGTGTAAACGAGCAAGTTTAGTTCAGTGCATATGTTTACAGGACATGTTCGCGTTCGACCCTCAAAATATAAAATTGTACTTTTTTAACTAAACTCGTCACTCAGACATTTGAACACTACTGTCCACTTAACCGTTTACTGTCAACTGCCCTGTAACTAAGCTCGCTACTGTACTTGTCGAAATGTAAATCGGCCATATTACATAGCATGACTTTTTACTGGACTTTAGTGCTACCAAAAAGTACCTCAGATTATTTATCTCTGCCTGTCTGAATTTATGTATGGCTTTGTGATTCTGATGTTGAGTTGTAAGTCAGTGTATCATACGAAGATTTTCAGCTATCAAGTTGTGTAAAATTAAAACATGGTACCTTTTCACACCCGTCGGGGGGTTCGCGAGCCAAGAAACGGTTTATTTGAGGAGAAGTCCCAAGCTTTGCTCCATCTAGATCAGGAGATGAACAAACACTCCCACCTGAAAAAAGAAAACATAGTTAATTTATTTTATTTGCATTTTCTGTATCAATATAATTTGATATACTAATCATACAACTAATTTATTTCAAAAAGCAAATGAATTATCAAATAAAAATGTAATATTAAATAAATTGACATGACTAAATATATGTCTCTGGCCTGAGTAGTTATTGAATGTTTAGTAGTTATTGAGTGTTCACCTTAAAGAGGGGACGATCTGAACTTATTAAAAAATAATTACATACAAATTTCCTTGTTCTCTGTTATAAATGTGAACGAAAATGTTGAGTTACAATCATTACAAAAAAATTAAACAAGTATACAAGCCAGAGAATTACTATGAATAATTCTCACGTAAAATCATACTTAAAACGAAAAGAAAATGCAATTTCAAAGCCAAAAAGGAGATTTACATGCTTGGATATTTAAAAGGATATAATAGTGCATTTACAACTAGTTTAAGTTGCGAGGGTTATCATTAAGCAGTAAGTTTTGTTATAGACCTGCTGCCAGTAGTTCTGTGGAACCAGCGCTGGAGAGTGAGGCCCGCGATGGCGGATCTATGCCCACAAGCCATTTCATAATTTATTTAATGTACATATATATTAGTCAAATAGATAAGGTATAATTGGGCAAAGAAAGAAAAAACACGTTTTGTTCTGCTGTTTTAACAGAACATGAATGTTAATTATGCATTTTGTTATTTAATTTTTATTATAATTTACTTAATATTATTCATGTGTACATAGCTCACCTAATTAAAAACTTAAGATATTACATAGTAGAAAATAACTGTGGTAATTTCATTTCATTTTCTTCAAAAAACTTTAATTTCTACTGTATTTGTAAGGATCTTGGCCACAGCAGTTTTGGGGAGATAATTTTAATTAATAATATGGAGATAGTAATGTTAGGAAGGAATTACCATCTTTATATAAAAACTATAAACATTTGTTTTACTTTCTATTAAAACCATTTAGAAATTCTTCATGGATTTTATAATATTTAAAAAATAAATTAAATCCATTAAATATTAGTTACATTTAATAAGTAGGGTTTGACTAAACATAATTTTGATGACTCAAAAAACAAAAATCAGTGTTTATTAAATAAAAGTACCTGAGGAATGGGCCGTATGACAGAGATCATGCGGAGTCTGTGTGTTAACGGAGCGTCGCAGGAGCTCGGCCAGTGGAGCACGATGACCTTCCGGTGTGACCTGGCAATAACACAGGCTTTATTATACGATAGGCATTATCAAAATGAAGTTTTCTATATGTTTTGCTGCTGTGTTTCATGCGGAGATGCTTTTTACTGGATACAAGGCATTCCATCATAGTCCTCAGCTATGAAAACACATCTGCATTTTGATTCTTACTCAAGGAATGATGTAGATGTCTATGGACCACAGAATTTACTTACCATCAGGTAGACTGTGGGCTCGTTTGTTACCCTTATTCTATAAAAATTGTGCTAAATTGAAGGAACCCAAAAATATAATTCATTTTACAGTCAAAACTATTCCAACCTATGTCGGCACAGCAGTGCCTTTGTGTGTGGACATGTTTCACCCATATGACTATTATCTTCCGAACGCGTAAAAAGTTCCAATGCTATTATATTTTTAATATGTTTTTTCCGAACTGTTAGATATCTTGTTAGAATTTACAAACCCAAATTGTCCCACGGGTTTCGTCAGAGAAGACAGAGGGAAATGTAATGGGAAATGGGTAGCAACATCTTCCTGATTAAAACTCAAAAATATAACACTGCAGTACCCAAGCTGCAACTTGACAGACGTAAAAGAATCCCCAAATCTGTCAAATGTGGCAACTATGGCAAAGACCCCTATGAGGCAATCTATGGGGGAGGCCTGTGTTCAGCAGTGGACTTTTAATAGCCTGGTGATGAATGATGAATAACATTTGCAAAGTTATTTTTACTAAAACCAGAAAGGTGACTTGTTACCTCTCAAGGAGCAAGATGGATGAAATAATGTCTCCAGGGACTATGTAATTTTGTTAATTAACATATTGTGTTGTACACAATTATTGGTATTCTGAATAATCTCCTGAGAGTGCAAGTAGTGAGTAACTAGGCTAATGCTTTTAGAAAAACTACCTACTTTTATTTTACAAATACTACTTACTACTAAGTGTATGTGTATGTACCTTATCTCGTAGCCGATCAAGATGAGGAGTTTGAGTGCCACTGGCCGGGCAAAGGACAAGTCGCTCAATTTCTTGATTTAGACCTTCAACTGATGAGCGAGCTGCCCTAAGCGGTACACTTCCAGTTCCAAAACGAGACCCTGCCAAAATAAAAAATGTAAACTTACAACTACCCACATAAAATACACATTGAAGAAAGTTTAATATGTAACATATACTTATAAAGATTGATTTGAAAAATAAATATAACTGAAGTGTTTGATGTCCAGTTAGACTGGTTACCTTCAGCTTTTGAATATTAATTCTGGTCCAAACTACTAATAAATTTTTATACATGATGTGTCACTGGTTCAAAAAACCAAACATGAAAAAGAAATGAAATAAATTTGCTTACATAATTACACTCGAGGGAGACCTAGGTAACATATCGACCCATATGTTATGAACAATTTGAGCCTTGACCGTGTCACACTTAAAACAATGAAAATATTTTCAAAAATGTGGGAACCTACTCCCCCGCGAGTCGCGTATAGGGTTAATTAATAAATTTGATAGTAAACCATATTAAATAAAAAAAAATTAAAATATAAAGGTCAACATATAAAAACAATATAGAAATACATACATACATACATTAAAAATTATTTAAGGGACATAATATTTTTTGTGAACATTTTGTTCATAAGTATTATGTTCTCACATAATATAACTTACAGAATCCAGGACTCATTGAGTGGGCAGAGTAATCTCCAGATGCAGAGGGTTTATGTGGTCTCTGAAGGCGACTACGCAAAAAACGATCCAGTTTATCATCTTCTGCACCACGGGATGAACGGCCAGATGCTCCACCACCTTCATCAGTCTGTGTATTTAATTAATAATTTGTATATAATACTCTGTAATGGTTTCTTATATTTACGCGAACACTACACATTTAAATAATACTAGTTTTTACGGAATTAGTATGCGATAAATTCCGTAAAAACTAGTATTATTTCAATGTATAATACTCTGTTTTTACCTATGTATATTCATAGTATTTAATATATTTCAGTAACATTTTTTTCTTCAAATATAATAAAGGTAAAAGTGCTCAACTATACAAAATCAGCAATTCAGTATGTAAACTTTTTTATGTCGTTTTCATATTTTTGCTCTACACATGAGTATATTATAAATACTGATTTTTATTATTTTTGTTTTCTAACTTTTACTTGTTTTTCATGTATTTTACTGTCTGTTGATCATGAATTCGATTAGATAGCTTATGAGTAAGAGAAAAACAGTTAAATTAAAATTATTGAGAAAAAAATCCAGCATTAATAATTTTGCATTAAGACATAGTAACCTAACACATAACTGTTTGATAATGAAAATAAATCCACCTTTATAAAGACAGTCCCTGGTAACATAAGAATGCAAGGGTGAATCAATAAAAAAATTACATTCCTTCCACTGTTTTTAGTTACTTCTGGTTGAGATATTTGGCAATGGTTATATTTACAACAGTTTAAAACAATGATAATGATAGAAATGTTGGCAATCTATTTTATTATTTTAAATTAAAAAAATCATAAAAAACATAGGGCTAACTTATGGCTTAAACTTAATCTACTGATCATAAATGTTTCCAAAACCTCATTTGTACAGATTATTAATTCTCAAATAAAACAACAGAGCATGGATATTTGTATTCACACATGCAATTTTTTTTACAAACCATCAATCAATGTCCATGTCAACCAATAAGTAAAACACTACACTACAATGAAGTATCTTGGAGTATGATTGGATGAGAAACTAACTTGGAAACCACATATGGACATGATTGCATCATGAGTCAGGAAATTAACATGGGTGTTCTAGAATCTTAGGCATATTGCCAACCTGGAATTTCTTTGCACTGTATATTATGCGCTAGTTCAATCTGTCATTGGCTTATAGTGAGACGATAGGAATGTGTGTGATTGAATATATGTAGATCACAGTCTGGGAACAATAAATGAAGTCCAAGTGTACACAATAATGCTAATATTTAACCATTAGAAACAGATACACAGTATATATATATATATATATATATATATATATATTTATAGTTCCACACAACACAATATAAAAGTCAATAGCTATACAAAAATTGAAGGAGTAGAGAGTGATAACATAAAGCAAATTATTTAAAGTTAATATTCGCGAGCTAGCAAGGGAGCACTATGGTTAACCAGGCGACATGGGCTTCGCATATGCTTTCAGTAAGCGGACTGGTAAGCACGGTGCGAGGCGCAGGGAACTGCATTCCAACGGTATAGTAGTTTAGTGCGTTTCCAATGCACACCAGGTTAATGTAAATAATGTTTTATTAATAAATATTATATTTGTATTGTAATATGTAACGATGGAAGTCAGGTTATTTAATGATTGAAAATAGTTAGATATAAGTAAATATATAAAATAAATAATATAAAAATATTTAAGTGTGCAATATGTATATGTACATATAATGTACAATAAGTAGGCTACAGGCTATTGCATCGGAGTATAGGGAGACACATGTAAAACAAACATCATACACCTTGAGGGAGCTCAAAGTTCCTTGCTCAAAACAATGACATTTAAGCCTTATAGATTCACCACAAATAGCCTTTATAGGATGTGTCAAGTTCTCACAGTAAGGCAGTTATTTACATCACCAAACAGCATGTGCACGATGTACACCAAACAACCTTTACGACCTAAACCTATGGATCCCATAAGATGCCGTTCTGCATTAGCAGGATGACAAAGAAGTTTTCTTTCTGGATACATTTATAATATAGAAAATAAAATCCTAAATTTCTATCCACTATCACTTCACAAATGTCAAACTAAAATAAGGAACTGGCTAATTACATTAAACTATGAGGATACTGAAAAAATACTGATATAGATAGGTGAAGCATTTATGTAATACACATACACACTTTCTTTGGAAAATTGAAAATTGTCTTGACATAAACTCATTAGACTAAGAAACATGGGAGAAGGTGCTGAATCCTGATATACTGGTACTTAGATAGTTCAGAATTCAGAGGCTTCATAGGATATTTGTAACTCATTTTATGTCAATAAAGATCATTATTATTATTAAGAGCGTAGTCGGTCTGCATGGAAATTGAGAAATAGGTATTTGAAGAAATTATTGATGTTGCACTGCGCCAGAACAAGTGAGGTATCAATATGTGAGTGAATAGTCTGTATTTGTGTGTGTAGCTCAGTATTAACTTCAACAGTTGTCACTTCACTAATTGTGTATGTATTAGTGTAACCCTCCCTCTGGTAGAATGCAATAGGGACAACTGCAACTCAGAACGATTTTACCTACAAAAGCGATGGCCGATCGACATTTGGTATTCCCCTACTTTCTCCTCAAAAACTGAGCCAATTAAATTATTTTTTGGTATCAAAATTTAAAGTAAGAGTAGATCTATGCTGTTTTGTCTTAATAACTTATCAAATTTCTTTGGTAGTCGTCTCATTACGGAGGTAAAAATGGAGCATTTTTTAGGTTTTTGGAAAGTCATATTTATTTTTGTAATAACTTTTTGGAAATATAATAAATAAATGACTGGGACATGCCTTTAATAGACCTAGATTTTTATAAACAAAAACGATTACTCTAGAGGCACTATCCAGGAAGAGAATAGAGGAATATGTTTGTATGGAAAAAATGCAGCCCGTCTACCCTCTTACGAATTAGGTAGTAAAATTCTAAACTGAATTCAATACACCAAAATAAAAGAAAACATATTTTTTAAAGCTTACTTGAGTTGATTTATCAACTTGTAGATGACCTGCATGCAGATAATAATCTCTAGACCATTGTCCTTTGTGATATAAGGTGTCAAGGGATGCTGTACGCCTGATTACACTAGCACCAAACCGTCCTTTGCCTACAAAGTAATTTGCAAATCAATTTATATTTTTATATTTTTTTAATATAATCAAAATGTTGATGACTATACAAAAAAATGTTGATGATGATAGTACAGTATAGTCATAAAAAATTTACAATTATTCTTTATTTACTACTACTTATGGCAAGTAATTTGTAAGAAAACAAGTATGTAATAGCACAAACCCTTATAGTTGACAGCTCCAGGACTTCGCTGACCAGAAAGTGCATGATCTGGTGATATTCGACGCCACACATTTGTAGGTGATAATGTTGGACTATTACCAGCGTTTTTCTTTAAGCCACCGCTTTGTTTCATCACCGAGGAAACTGGTAAAGTGGCCCTCATAGGACCTTGTTTGCTTACAGGACAGTCCGACTGCTTCCTAACACGACCCGACATTTTTATTAATATCACTTTTCACAATTTTAAGACTGTAATTCTATACTAAAATTAAACATCAAAGTTCATGCAACTTCAGTGTCCGAGGAATTATTTTACAACGCAGACGCCGCACGGCTTCTTTGTAGAGGAAATTGTTAGGCCCAGAAAATGATTGTTACGTGTAGTACGTGTTTTTTAACAATGCTATTGAATAATCAGTAAATCGCTTACACTCATAGCGGCTATATAGCCATAGTAAGCGATTTTCGTATTGTACTAAAGAGGTAAAACAAAATTCTATCGAACTAGTCACATTTTTTCTGCACTACAATGGATGAATGAATAAATCTGACAGATGACGCGGGACATCGCGCCATTCTTTGACGCTCTTGGTGCAATTACTTTAAAAGGTAACACATATTTAAACAATAAAGAAAAAACAAAAAATATGAAAATTGAGTCCTAATGACTAAAACGAAACAATTTATAACTACTCGTTGGCATTGCAATTAACAGCTGATTACTCCGCCATGACAAGTTGTCTATGACCAATTTATCGTATTGTCTATGTACAATGTTGCAAGCTCTTGTTAGAGACTTAGTACTCTTATTAGCATGAAGGTTAGAGAACTGGAGAACGATCGCCGTAGAAAATAGTGTCCCAGCAATAGGGATACCATAAGTGAGGCGCTGCGATCGCAAAGTTTGGTCAATAAAATTCATTTTCAGTCTATTTTTCCGATCAGATGCTAAACCACTTGCACATCCACGCACAATAAATTATTTTTCTATTTTTTAATGTTTCTTTTTGTCAAAAATTACAAAATTACGGAGCATGATAATTTTCTTATCAATGCCGCGGAGAAAATTTCTACACTATTCAACTAACTTCATCTACTTGTACTCAGAAACAGCTCACTTCACAGTCACTACTCACCGACATCAGCGCCGCTATGAATTTTACAATTTTCAAGGACAGACGGGCTATGCTTTAGTACGTAGTGATCGTTCTCCTGTTCACTAAACTTCATGCTTATTATAGTCAACCAAATCTAAGAAATACATTTTGACAGCTGTCAGATTTATTGCACCAAGCATGCCAACCAAAAAATGGGAACGTACAATGTTCGATTCTTTAAAAAATCGATATCGATTATTTAGAGTTGGTAATCATTTAGTTTGGTTTGAATAATACCAGAATACATTTAAAACGGATAATTTATAACTTAATATAAAGATTTATCAGTTTCTTCGTATTTGTTGTAACTGCTTATTTCTAGAGGCACAGTTATAATTTATTCAATCACTTTCAGTAAAACTAGTAGATATGTTGTTGTTTATATTAATTATTATTAGATTTTCAATAACGCAGACAAAATTAAAGTCTCTTTCAAAATCATCCATAATAATTTTTTTGTTTTTTCTACCACTTTTGCCCAATCATCCTTTGTGACATGGATACATGCTTCAAAGAATATTTTTTTATAGCATTGGGTGACAAACGAGCACACAGTCCACCTGATGTTAAGTGGATGCTATGGCCCATAGACGTACATATTTATTCTCAATTAAGAATCAAAATGCAAATGCGTTGTCACCCCAGAGGCTTAAGACACTCACCATACGAAACACAGCAGCATTACACTACTATTTTACGCTGGTATTCTGTGAGAGCGTGGTCCTGCCCCGGCTGAGCCGACCCATTCGTGCTACAACTATAATATAGATGTACCGTGGCTCTACCACGTACAAAAAGTTATTATAGAAGAAACAGTCCAAAAAGTTAAAACCGAATCACAAAATGAGAAGACAAACAAAAAATCACAAAATTACGCACAATGCCTTGGAAACAGAAACAGAAACTTTTTTATTCAATATAGATTATGAATAATACTTATTGAAAGTTACTTTTTTCATTTATCACTCGTTCACAAAAAAAACCTTTGTCCTGGGAAGAACCAGCAATAAACCCAACGAGACTAGTTTAAAAAAATAAGAGCTTACAATCATGCGTGTTACAATTAACAACACAAAACAAATTAGAAATAGCTTGGTAGCGATCACCCGTCCCAGGAGTTATTATCATCCATAAATTCCTTAATATTAAAATAACCCTTTTTATAACAAACTTAGTTTAATAAAGTTTTTAAACTATGTATACTTACGTCAAATTTTGTATATTTCCTGGGATTTTGTTGTAAAAGCGTATTCATCGCCCCAAAGAATGAATACTGACTCTGTGGAGTCGAGTAACTGGTACCGAAATGGCGGGATATTGAAATTATGTAGCGGTTTGTTTAGCACGGCCTTGTATATGATTTTTTTGCCTACACAAATTTACTTTGACAAAGTAAAAAAAATAAACTTGTTTTATTCATGATTCATGTAATTTGAGGAATTTTGAAAATAAAAATTAAATTAAACAAATAATACATTAAAAAAATTAATGATTCGATTATTTGAAAATTTTTACCGATTATTTGAATATTTTGTCGATCATTCGCATAACAACGAATTTTTACATATCATTGAAACGACGTCAAGAAAAAAAAAGTTAATACTGGTTATTTTTTAATATTTTGCTTTGTTTGAAAAATTCAAATTTAAATTTGTGATAAAAAACTATACACGTTGTAATGAAATATAGATAACTTCATAATTCTTCGAATTTACGTAAAAAGTTATTTTAAATCCTGTAAGTACGCTGGTGCAAAGTTATTGCGGAATGATTAATGTGAAACGTCAAAAGGTATTTCTTAGATTTGGTGGACTATAGTATGTGTTAAAGACCTTTGTTGCAAGGAATTAAAAACATTACCAAGTTTTATAACCGTACCTTTACTTTAACACATACTGCAACACGGGCCACCGGTAGACTTGAAGGCCATAGCTTTTCCTCCGATCATGGAATGTAGAGGTAAGGAGAACCGTCTCTGTATACCAAAAAGTGTCCGTAGGAAAGCATTAAATACGGGTGACGCCACTGTAGCTAGAGGGTATTCTTTAAGAACTTTTTATAACTTTTTATTGCACAGACTTTCACCATAATTCCTGTTTTATTATAATTATTTTATTGTTTTCAAAATTTTTATTCTTAAAATCACTCTCAACGTGTTTCACGGCGACTTTTTCTAGGTTATATTTACTAAATTATTTTAGACAGCGTGAGTAGTTGAGGTTTTAAATACCGCAGTTTTAGCAACTACTCTACCCACAAATAATAAATTCCTCAACTCAGCATACTTCACTTCGTCGACAACTGCTAAGTTCATTTCATACCCTCTAGCTACTCTAACGCTATCGTGGAGAGTTTTTGAACTGTTATTTACTACTTACAGATTAATGGTGGTTAAAATAGCGCATAGCGCCATTTAATAGCGCGTTATCTCTCCATAACACATAACGCGTGCTAGGTAAGTAGTCGCCATGGCGCTACTTACACAGTCACTATGGCGTCGATCGAAGAACACAGTTGTCTGCAATAAAAGAAGCCTAACTAATGTTTTTAAATGTAAATAAAATGTAGATACAAAAAATGTATATAATAGTGTATGTAAATAGTTGATTTTTATAAATAAAATCAATAAACTTTTAAATACACCGTTATTTGATTTATAATTTATATTAGGGTTAAAATAACGTTTACATCAATTATAATAAAAAATAATTAATTTTATTTCGTTTTAAAAGTACATGCCTTAAAAATATTTTTAGGATTATAGAAAGTCGTAAGCCTGGAAAGTATGAAAAAGCGTTCATTGGTTTTTCTTTACCTCTTTATTTTATTTTAGTCTAAAATACGACTTATTATGAAATAATGTTCTTATATAGCACGCGGTCTATCCAATGAACGACATGTAATGTAACGTGCTACGAGATATAGGGTGCTGCAAAACTTAACGTGCTTGCCGGCCTCCTACACGCTTTCTTATAAATAGCGCGCTATAACATAGCGTATTAAATAGTGCGCTAGAAATTTATAGTTTAAAGTCTGTAGCGTGCTATTGATTTATAGTTAGTTTTGAACAACTTTATTACAGATGAACTCTTTTTCAACTATTCTCCATGTGAAACGGTTCTCCTTACCTTAACACTCCATGGCCCCGATACACAACTGTGTGTCATTTTTTGCGGGAGAAAATCTACGAACACTAAAACAATCGTCTGTCACTACGAAACTCATAATAATTAAAACAATATACTAACAGCTTAGAGTATATATAAGCAAGTTATAGAGCACGCGTTAGCCAGTATGAACAGTAATCTCGGCTATGAACAGTCTCGAAATGACAATGTTGAAGTAATTAGTAACGAAAAAAGAAGTCACGTTAATTATTTCTCTCGACAGTATTTATTTAACTTTTCAGTTACCGTGGTGAAATGTGCAGTGACAAGCTGAAAAAACGATTCAAGAAGCAAACTAAGAAGAACAATGATATTTCTTTTCATTGATATATCGGGTGTCCGGTAATGAATGGATAACCTTGAAATGTCTTATAGTACAACTTATGGCCGTCCTGAAAAAAATACGAAAAATAATATATCACAAGTAGTACCTTTGATATATTTTTTTTTAAAGAAAAGTCGATTCTTTTCTATCTTATTTTACTGTCTTGAACACTATGACCAAAAATGAATGATTTCTATTGGTTTTTTGTTATATTATTATTATACACTAACTGTGCTTATAGGTAAAACGTAAACAATATGAATAGCTTTTGCAGTTTTTATTTAAAAAAATTCGCAAATCAATTTATTTCTGAAAAACATGCAAAAAATATAATTTAAGCGAAGTTCAAACCTCTTGGGTATGAAAAAAATGTATGAATGTATGGGTGACCAATAATTTTACAATAATATGGGTTTCGTGTAGATTTTATAATGGTATAATTCATAAATGTATCTTCCATAAATAGTGACTTATTGCCATTAATGTAGAAAAGGAGAAAATTTGACTAAGTAACAAAATTTGTAATATGGGAACATTTATTAAATTGAATTGTGTCTGATTATTGGGG